ACAAGGGCGCCCAGCGCATCAGGGCCTCTCACTGGTGCAGCCACCTGCTCCAAGGAGACCTCGTGGTTCTCAAGGAGCCCAGGGCACAGGGAGAGGAGTGTCCCCACCACTGATTCCCATGTTCCAGGCAGGACTGAGCTTCTTGTGCATGTGTGTGCACACCCATGCATGCATGCATGTATGCACATGTGTGCCTTCATGTAAATGTACATGTGGGGGTGCCCCCACATAGGAATGTGTCTGTGTCTGCATTATATGTTTGTCTGTGTCAACATGTCTGCCCACACCTCAGCTTGGGGCAGGTGGGAGGGCGGGCAGGGCCAGGCCAAGGCCGTTAATGAGGCTGGGCTGTAATAAAACTGGCAATTCCACCTGGTGCTCCAACACGGGAGGGCCTCCCCGTCGCCTCCGTGGTGAGCTGGCACCTCGGACTGCACCTCCACACGCCTGGGGCCACAGACACTTGGTGGGCTGGGCGGGACAGGAAGACAGAGAACAGGGCCACCGTCCAGGGCTGGGGCTTGTCCAGGGGACGCGGCCAGGCCCAGACCATCCTTGCCAGCTGGCATCCACCCTAACTCCTACCAGGAGCCCCTGTCCGGGCCAGAGAAGAGCAGAGCCCGGGAATGGGAGCTGTGATGCCAGGAGTCAGTTTTCACCAGAGAAGCCCTCCCCCCGCCCCGCCCCAATCAAGCCCTGGGTCCTGCTTATTGCATCCTTGTGGGGCTCCAGTCCCACCCTACTCAGCCACCCTCCATGAAGGCAGGGCACCCTGAAACCCCCTCCCTGGCTGAGACAGCGGAGTGAGGCGGGTGAGCCATGGACGGCGGCAGGGGCAGCGGTGCAAGCGGCAGTTTATTACTGAGTGATCTGGAGTGGGCGGTCCCAGCAGCCTGAGAGGCACTGACAGGCAGTGGGTGGGGCAGAGCTCAAGCAGGAAGAGAGGAAGGAGTTAATTCTGCTCTTTAGGGGTCACAGCCTGCAGGTGAGGGACTTGGGGGGGCCCGGTCAGTGCCCACCTTGCCACCCATGGGGCCTCCTGGGCAGCCTTTGCATAGTGACCAGCGGACTGGCCGTGGCCTGATGGAGGACCCGAGTTGGGGCGAGGCCCAGCACTGCCCCAGGGCTCCGGGAACAGGGGACGCAGAAGGCAGTGAGGGCCCTGGGGAGTGAGCGGAGGGACCTGGCGCCCACGGAGGGCCCTGCCTGGGCGGAAAGCTGGCAAGTGGGGGCAGAGCTGCAGGGGCGCGCCCCCGCAGCAGACAGAGCTGGGGTCAGGTGGTCCTCCCGAGTCCAGAGAGACGAGGCGAGACAAGTGAGAACACAGTGGCTGCAGGAAACCCACTCGTCCAGGAGGAAAGGTCGGATGCAGGGGTGCCAAGCGCCAAAGTCCTTTATGCACCCGCTCCGGGCCCAGCACTCGGAGGAGGCAGGGGCGGCTGGGGCTGCCCGGCGTGAGGCCGGCGTGGCCAGCCACGTGGCCTGGGGACGCCCGCATCCAGCCAGGGCCGAGACCCCGTGCACATGCCCCCAGCCCCGGAGAAGCCCAGCTTGGCCGCCGGGGTCACTGCGTGAGGTACACGGGTTGATTCCCTGGATGGGCTGCCCCTCTGCCCTGGCAGGGGGCTGATGGCCAGCCACCAGCCTCGGGGAGGGCCCGGTGCAGGGGCCCGGGGACAGGGCGGACCCAACTAGCAGGTCCGTGTCTGGGGCAGTAAGGGGGGGGCGCACACGGTGACACAGGCCTCTGGACAGAGGAACACACGTGACACAGGCCCTGGCAGAAGGACACGAGGTGGCACGGGCCCCGGGTCCGAGGGACACAGAAGCACACGGCCCTGGGTACGAGGGGACCAGGGCCTCGAGAGCGGTTTGTGGCGTGGGCAGCCCAGGCCCCGGGGAGAAGTCACCTGAGGACGTAGGGTCAGCACCTCTGGGGAAACGTGGGGCTTCGGGAGACTGGGGCTGGGTCCCCCCTCCCCGGACGGCTCCGCGGAGGGCAGAGCAGGCTGCTGGGCCCGGACACTCCGGAGAGGGCCGCCGCCCTAGCTCTCCTCCAGGTGGAGGCTGATGAACTCCTGGATGCACCTGCGGTACTGGAGCTCCGTGGGGCTGCAGACCGCCAGGGGCCCGGGCTGGCCGGGGGGCGCCTCCGCCTCCCGCATCTCCTCGGCCATGCGCGCCAGGCGGAGCCTGAGGGAAGCACAGAGTGAGGGGCGACCTGTGCCCCATGGCACCCCGCTCCTCTCCCCCACAGCGCCCCGTCCCCTCTAAGGCACCAAGCCCCGCCCCCAAGACAAGCCCCCGCCCTCTAAGAACCAAGTCCCGCCCCCTAAGGCACCAAGCCCCGCCCCGCGCTCACAGCGTGACGATGTCCGCGTTGGCCTCCTGGACAGCGATGCTCAGAGGGTCCTGCTGCTCGTGGTCCAGGGCGTGCTGGTCGGCGCCCCGCTTCAGGAACAGGCAGACCTGGCTGCGGGCGAGGCGATGAGCCGGGGCGCACCCAGGCCACACACCCACACACACACACACACACCCGCGCCCCAAGGTGAGCCGCAGGGCACCCGCACTCACCCGGTGCGGCCCAGGAGCGTGGCGTGGTGCAGGGGCGCCCGGCCCCGGCTGTCTCTTTGGTTCACGTCCGCCCCGTTTTGCAGGAGGAATTCGCAGATGACCAGGGAGCCCTGGGGAGCGGGGAAGCCGCGCTGAGCCCGGGGGGAGGGCTGCTAGGGGTGTCCCAGGCGCCCCTGCCAGACCGGACCGGACCGGACCGGACGGAGCCCCAAACGAGCGGGTCTCCAGCGGGGGCCGGGTACCAGCCACAAGGAGAAGCTGAAGAGGCCCCGTCCGCTCACCCCCAGCACGGCCTGCACCAGCGGCGTCTTGCCCTCGTCCTCCGAGTCGGCCCAGTTGACCTCCGCCCCGTGGGCCAGCGCCGCGGCCAGCGCGGGGAGGTCCCGGGTGCGAGCCGCGCGGTGCGCCAGGAGCCCGGGGTGCAGCTCACGCACGTCCGCCAGCGCCCAGGCCTCCGCGTCTCCGTCCGCCTCTCCGCTGGAGTCTGACTCCTCCGCCACCTCTGCGGGGAGCGGGTGCGGTCAGAGCGGTGACGGCCCCGCGGGGGCGGGGGCGGGGGCGGGGGGAGGGCTGGGGAGGCAGGCACCCACCCTCCTCGGGGACACTGTCCACCACGGAGCCGGCGCCGAAGGCCAGGACGTCAGAGCTGCCATCGGAGCTCCCCCCTAAGCCACTGTCGCTGCTCAGACCTGCGGGGTCCATGGGCAGAGGGGCCCTGAGGATCCCTGTCGCCTCCCGAGACCCCACCATCCTCCAGGGGGTGCCCCGGGGGCAGGAGAGTCCGGCTAGGGTGGGAGAAAAGGGGCAAAACAAGCTATTGCAGGTCCACGTGCACCCGCCCACAGGCAGGTCTGCGGGCGGCAGGATGGGTGGGCCTGTGAGGCTGTGGTGCATGTGAGGAGGTCACCGCCCAGGGGTGGAGTCTCAGCCAAAGATTGGCCCAGCTCAGCCAGGGGCAGCCCCCAAGAGCCCAGGCTCAGGGACGGTGAAGCAGCGCCCCCTGCTGCCCGCAGTCACCATGCCAATTCCTGGCAGAGGGCCCTGCCTCCTGCCCACGCATGGCAGGAGGAGCTGACCGCCCGCCCATGAGCAGGCAGCCCTTGGGGGAGAACTCGAGGTATAGCAATTGTCCCCCAACCCCAAACGGGGTGAGAAAGATGTGTGCCCCGAGTTTTCCAGGCCCCCAGCACACAGGTGCACATGGACACCCACAAAACACACTTGATACACACCTACTCCTGTGTGCACACAGCACACACACACACACACACCACTCAGGGGTCGTGACCTTGGTCTCCAAGTCGATACCCCATTGCCCCCAGCCCCTCAAGGCACTATCCAGCCTCAGGCCCGCTTGACCCCGTTCCTCCCCTCCAGACCAGCCCCCCACGACACCCGCTCCGAGCCCTGTCCCAGCAAATGGCCACTGGTACACCATCCCGGGAGCCCTGCCTGGCGCTGCCCGAGGCCCGGCAGGGAGGGGGTGGGCAGCGGGCCGGGGTGCTGGCAGCACTTACTGCGTGGACCAGCCGCAGCAGCCCCTGCGTCAAAATAGGAGAAGAGGGAGTCCAGCTCGTCCGGGCAGAAGAGGGAGTCCCTGCGGAACCTGCGCTCCACGGCACCTACGGGGGGACCAGGGGCCACAGGGGGCCTGTCTCCTGGGCCAGCCCTGGCCTCCCGGGGTCTGGCCTCCCCCCGCTGCAGCCCGCCCCCCACGGCCGCCCGGGAGCCAGAGGCCCGCCCACCTGAGGACAGGGCGGCCACGGCGGGCAGGACGGGCTCCAGCCGGACCTGGCGGCGGGCGGCGGGGGCGCGGGGCGAGCTGTGCTGGCCGGGGCACCTGCGGGCCCGCCAGCGCCGTGGGGCCTCCCGGGCGGGCGCGGAGGGTGGCTTCCGCAGGAACTTCCTCTCCACGTACTTGTCCTTGATCCAGGCCTCCTTGTCCTGCCTGGACCGGGGGGCGTGAGGCCGCGCCCAGGCCCCGGCCCGCCGCCCCCGCCCCCTGCTGCACCCCCTCACCTGGGGCTGCTGGCCGTGGGCTTCCTGCTGCCCGGCCCCTCGCACTGGGCCTCGTAGATCTGGTTCACCGTGCGGTTTCCCAGCTCGCACATCAGCTGGCGGGAGACAGGGCGTGAGGGCCTCAGCCCCAGCTGCAGACACCCCCAGCCCACAGACACCCCCAGCCCACAGACACCCCCAGCCTGCAGACACCCCCAGCGTGTAGACACCCCCAACCTCCAGCCATGGCCGGCAGATACCCCCAGGCCTCAACCCCGGCCGGCAGACACCCCCAGCCTGCAGACACCCCCAGCCCACAGACACCCCCAGCCCACAGACACCCCCAGCCTGCAGACACCCCCAGCCCACAGACACCCCAAGCCTGCAGACACCCCCAGACCCCAGCCTGCAGACACCCCCAGCCCACAGACACCCCAAGCCTGCAGACACCCCCAGACCCCAGCCCCAGCCTGCAGACACCCCCAGCCCACAGACACCCCCAGCCTGCAGACACCCCCAGACCCCAGCCCCAGCCTGGAGACACCCCCAGCCGGCAGACACCCCCAGCGTGTAGACACCCCCAACCTCCAGCCATGGCCGGCAGATACCCCCAGGCCTCAACCCCGGCCGGCAGACACCCCCAGCCTGCAGACACCCCCAGGCCTCAACCCTGGCCTGCAGACACCCCCAGCCTGCAGACACCCCCACCTGCAGACACCCCCAGCCTGCAGACACCCCCGGCCAGCAGACACCCCCAGGCCTCAGCCCCAGGCCTCAGCCCTGGCCTGCAGACACCCCCAGCCGGCAGACACCCCCAGCCGGCAGACACCCCTAGGCCTCAGCCCCGGCCTGCAGACACCACCCCCAGCTGGCAGACACCCCCGGCCGGCAGACACCCCCAGCCTGCAGACACCCCCAGGCCTCAACCCTGGCCTGCAGACACCCCCAGCCTGCAGACACCCCCACCTGCAGACACCCCCAGCCTGCAGACACCCCCGGCCAGCAGACACCCCCAGGCCCCAGCCCCGGCTCGCAGACACCCAGACACCCCGAGCAGGCGGCTGGTGGCCCGTGATGGCCCCACACACACCTTCAGCAGCTCAGGCTCCCACGAGTCCAGCGTCAGGGACCGCACCTTAGAGCAGTGGACACCCAGGCTCCTAGACAGCGGGGAGGAGGGGTGAGTCAGGGGCGGCTCGGCCTGGCGCCCTGCCCGGCCGCCCGCGGGCCCACCTGTGGATGCCTGAGCACTCGATGCAGAGCAGCACGCCCAGGTTGATGCTGGCCCAGCGGGGGTCCGGCTGGCCGCAGTCACCGCACTGGCCGTTGCCAGCCACGCCCTGCACACGCTGCAGCACGCTCTCGCCCTTGGCGCCGCGCTCCCGGGAGTCCGAGGCCGAGTCGATGCTGCTGGTGGAGGGGGACGCTGTGCGGTCCAGCCTCTGGGGACGGTGAGGGCCAGTCAGCCCCTTCGGAGCTCCGGCCGCGGCCACCCCAGCGGCCCCCACCCCTCCCCCGCCCCCGCCACTGCCGGAGCCTGAAGCCACGCCCACGCCCACACGTGTGCAGGTACATGCACATGCCCACAGTGCCCACACATGCCGGCACGCAGCCCGGGGGGCCGTGTGTGCACGTGGAGGGCGCAGTGGCCGCACCTCGCTGTAGCAGCTGTCCGGGCTCTCCCGGTAGGCGGAGGCGATGCTGGCTTGCACGGCTTGGACCCAGGCCTGCCGCAGCTTCTCGGAGTCCGCCTGCAGCATGCAGCTCCTGCGGGGCGAGGGGGTCAGGCCTGGCAGAGGGGCCCCCCCACCAGCCCGGCCCCCGCCAGCCCGGGCCCTGCCAGCCCGGCCCCCATCAGCCCTGTGCCCCCCGCCGGCCCGGCCCCCATCAGCCCCGGCCCCCGCCGGGCATACGCACTTGGTGGGCGACACGACCTCGAAGCAGAACCTCCGCTCGATGTCCTCACACGGCTTCACGGAGCACAGCCGGAGGTCATCCACCACCACAGTGAGCACGTCCTGCGGGCGGAGCACGGCCTCGAGCCCAGCCCGACCCCCACGTGCCCTCTGCCCCCCACCACTGAGGCCACCGGACCCACGTGCCCCCTGCCTGTCCCCCGGCCACTGGACCCACGTGCCCCCTGCCTGTCCCCCGGCCACCGGACCCACGTGCCCCCTGCCTGCCCCCCCGGCCACCGGACCCACGTGCCCCCTGCCTGTCCCCCGGCCACCGGACCCACGTGCCCCCTGCCTGCCCCCCCGGCCACTGACCCCTACGTGCCCCCTGCCTGTCCCCCGGCCACCGGACCCACGTGCCCTCTGCCTGCCTCCCCCCGGCCACCGACCCCCATGTGCTCCCTTGCCTGCCCCCCCGGCCACCAGACCCACGTGCCCTCTGCCTGTCCCCCCGGCCACCGGACCCACATGCTCCCTGCCCCCCCACCACTCAGGCCACTGGACCCACGTGCTCTCTGTCCCCCCACCACTCAGGCCACCGGGACCCACGTGCCCCTGCCCCCCACCACTGAGGCCACCGGACCCACGTGCCCTTTGCCTGCCCCCCCGGCCACCGGGACCCACGTGCCCCCTGCTCCCCACCACTCAGGCCACCGGACCCACGTGCCCCCTGCCTGCCCCCCACCACTGAGGCCACCGGGACCCACGTGCCCTCTGCCTGCCCCCCCACCACTGAGGCCACCGGGACCCACATGCCCTCTGCCCTCCCACCACTCAGGCCACTGGACCCACGTGCCCTCTGCCCCCCACCACTCAGGCCACCGGGACCCACGTGCCCCTGCCCCCCCACCACTGAGGCGTGACGCCGGGGCGGCCACTCGGGGCCAGGGGGAGGGGCCTGCACGCACCTTCAGCTTCTTCTGGTAGACCAGCTGGCTGTTCTGGATGGAGAACCAGCGCCTGGGTGGGGACGAGCCGGGGGGGTCAGGCAGGCTGACCTCACGAATGCCCCGGTGCCCTGCCCCCCAGGAAGGACGGACCCCTCACCTGTTCCACGTCTTGAAGGCGTTGCTGGCCCTCTTGAAGAGGTAGCCCTCCATCACCACCCCGCTGGGCGCGTCCACGTCGAACTCCGCTTTGGGCTCATCGTAGGAGAAGTCCTGGGGGTTGGGGACGGTCCCCCGTGAATGCCCACCCGGACCCGAGCATGGCCCTGCCCGAACCTCCTGGGGCAGGCGGTCCCCTCACATCCCTGCCGGGGCTGGAGCCGAGCCCAGCCCCACGGAACAGCAGGCTGTGCGACGAGGAAGGAAGCTGTCTGTGCCCCCCGCCCCCCGGCAGCCGGGTCCCCATTCACGCTGCCAGCTGGGCCTGCTCCCAGCCACAGAGCTCCATTCACAGGCCGAGACACTGAGCGTGTCCTGTGTGTGGCAGTGGGAGCGGAGGCCCCGCCACCTGCTGTCCTGGCCGAGTGGGGGCAGGGAGGGACAGCTGCTGCCACTCCCACGGGGACGCTCCCGGCTGGGCCCGAGTCCTCGCTGGTGCCAGCCACCAGGTGCAGCGCCCGCCCGCCACCAGGTGCCTGGGAGGTGTCCTTGGTGCTGAAGTGCCCCCGCAAGGGAGGGCGGACGCCCCACTCCTCTGGCCTTCCCCCTACCCCTCCCCCCCCCCTCCGCGTCCAGGGCAAAGCCCACTCACCTGCAGCAGGGTCTGGGCAGAGCAGGAGGGGGTGGGAGGAGAGAGAGAATGCCAGTGAGTGCCCAGGCCTTCACTGACTGAAATGGCAGCTCTGCCTGCAGCCCATCCGCCCTGGGCAGTGTGGGGGCAGCGGTCTGGCAGGTTACCAAAGAGGAGCCAGTAGCAGCCAGCACCTGAGGCCCCAGAGGCGACCCTGGCCTTGAAGGACGAGGGGCATTCACTGGCCTCTGCCCACCCTGCTCTAGCCTCTGAGTAACATGGGGCCACCCGCCCTCCTGCTCCATCACGGTGAGGGTGGGCAGGCCTGGGGGAAGGGGGGCGTGTGTAGGTGCCAGGGGCCCCCCAGGGCAGCGGGACGGGGTGCCCCTCACACCCCCGATCCCAGGGCAGGGCGAGGAGGGCCTCACCCGCTGCTGGATGGCCGCATGCCTGTGCTCCATCTCCCGCTTCTCCACGGCCGAGTCGATCACCAGCTGGTCCAGCTGTGGGGAGGGGCGTCAGGGCGGGGAGAAGGGACCCCTCTCCCCGAGACCCAGGCCGGGCCCGTCCCCTCCCCTCCTCGCCCCAGGCTCACCTCGGCCGCCAGCTTCTTCATGTAGGGGTCCAGCTGGTGCAGCAGGCTGTAGCCCTGCTGGAAGAAGCTGTACTGGGCGTGCATGAAGGACAGCATCTGCAGGCGGGCAGGAGGCGCTGGTGAGGCCACTGCCCGGCATCTGCCGCCATGCCTGTGCCCCGCCCGCCCCGCGCCAGGCACTCACAGAATCCAGGATCTCAAACTTCTTCTTGGCCTGGAGGACATTGATCTGCCAGGGAGGGGGAGGGGAAAACCGGGAAAGGGTGTCGGGGTCGAGGCAGCCCACGGCCTGCACCTTGCCACCACGCCCGCTCAGGCTGCTTGTGGTCCCCTGAGACCCCCGACTCATCTTCGCATCCCTGCCCTGGGGCCAACCGCATTCTCCCCTGTCAGGATGGCGGGTCCCTCCCACGGGCAACTCCCATCCCGACTCTGCCCTCAGCAAAGTCTCCCGGGCCCCACCCTCGCCCGCACCCGCGCCCGCACCCGCCCGAGCCCACCGCTGGGCCTGTGGCTGCCCCACCTGGTCCCTCCCCAAGACCTGATTCGTTTTCTGGAGCCAGAAGCACCTCTCCCGAGGTCAGCTCCGCCCACCGCCCGTCCATCCGTCCGTCCGTCCGCAGGACCGCCCCCCAGGACCGGCCTCCGTGCCGGCGGCTCACCTGGAGCACATAGTCCAGGGCCAGGTGGCGGAAGCACTTGCGGGTGAGGGTCAGGGCGCCGGTGGCCTCCTCCACCTCATGGGGCCGGTGCCGCGGGGCCTGGGCGTTCCTCACCAGGGACAGCTCCAGGTCCTCCCGGACCTTGTCAAACTGCTTCTTGGTCTCCTTGAACTTCCGCACATCCCTGGGGGCGGGGGGGCAGGGGGGGCTGGTCAGGGCGGGGGCTCCCAGGAGGGACGGATGTGGGGTCTCCCCCTTGCTGCGATGCCCTCCCTGCTCCTGGGCAGGGCCTCCCTGTCTGCGCCCCCCGCAGCCGTCGAGCGGGCTGTCCCCCTCCTTCCCCCTTTCTGCCTTCCCTTCTCCCTCCTCTCCTCCTCGAGGCCCCTTCCCGGACCCAGGGCTCCCCCTTGCCCTTCACCACCTCAATCCGAAGGTCAGTCCAGCCTGGGGTGACCCCCAGCTTCACCAGACTCCAGGCTCAGGCCCCCAACTTCAATGTGGCATCACTTGGGGGTCCCATAGGCACCCCAACTGCACACACAGGTGCTGAGCCCAGACTCCCACCCAACCCTCACCTCCTCCCACCATCACCCTGACTCCTCCCACAGTCACGCCCTCCCCCTCGCCCTTCGCCCGAGGCCCTCACCTTACCCTCCCGCCCTGTCCCCCTCCGAGCCTCTGCCCACGCTGAGCCCCCACCCAGAGCCTGAGGCCTGGGGCCAAGGCCCCTCCCAGACAGGCCCTGGGACCCCCAGATCCAGCTCAGGAAACGCCAGGAGCCCCTCCCAGGCCGGGAGAGGCGAGGCACCCCCTCGGGATCCGGGCCTCCACCCACTCACTCTTTGATGAAGTTGTGGAGCTGCTGCCGCACGGACCTCTGGGCCTGGTCAAACAGGATCTGGGGGGTCACGGACAGGGGGTGTGAGTGGTCTGTCCCCACGTGACCCCAGGGGCCAGGCCCCCTCACTCTCAGGTGAGGACCAGGGAGAGTCCCGCCCAGCCCAGCCTGGGCCCCAGCCCGTCCCCCACAGAGCCGGCCTCACGGGGCCTAGGGGAGCGGGGGTGGCCTCAGGCCTGGGCCGGTGCCCAGAGGCGACAGCTGTGACCACCTGCCCACGCCCCCTCCTGGCTCTCGGCCAGAGCTGTCCCAGATGGGCCCCTCCTCCTCTGCCCCACCCACAGGGCACCTGTGACACCCCCACCTCGGGGAGGACCAGCCTGCGGTAGGAAGGATGGGGTGGGAGCTGGAGCTCCTGAGGACTGGCCTAGGAGCAGGGGCGGGTGGTGGTGGGGGTTGGAGGGCTCTTGAGCACTTAGGGGGCCCAGAGCCGGACCGGAACCGAACCAGCTGCGCGGGGGCCCAGAGCCGGACCGGAACCGGACCGGCCGCGCGGGGGCCCAGAGCCGGACCGGAACCGGACCGGCCCCCGGGGGCCCAGAGCTGGACCGGCCCCCGGGGGCCCAGAGCCGGACCGGCCGCGCGGGGGCCCAGAGCCGGGCCGGCCGCCCGGGGGCCCAGAGCCGGGCCGGCCGCCCGGGGGCCCAGAGCCGGGCCGGCCGCCCGGGGGCCCAGAGCCGGACCCGCCGCCCGGGGGCCCAGAGCCGGACCGGCCGCCCGGGGGCCCAGAGCCGGACTGGCCGGGGCCCAGAGCCGGACCGGCCGCCCGGGGGCCCAGAGCCGGACTGGCCGGGGCCCAGAGCCGGACCCACCGCCCGGGGGCCTGTCCGGAAGCAGACAGACAGACAGCCAGGGCAGGACGTGCTGTTCTGAGCCGGTTTATTTCTGAACTTCCCCTGTTGGTGGGGCCCCTTGTTTAGTCTGGGGCTCCGGCTGCCAGGCCGCTGTCCAGCCGCCCACATGCGCCTCACGCAGGCCTGTGCGGTGGCCGTGCCGGTGGCCCTGAGGGCTGGAGGTCATCCAGACCTGACCGGGAGCAGCGAGGCCAGGACACCAGGGGCCGGGGCAGCCTGGGAGGTCCTCTCACTGCACTGGACGGCCGAGACCTGCCCAGTGAGGGGCCCTGGGTGACCCTCCAAAGCGTCTCCCCCCTGAGAGCCCACTGCCCACAGACCGGCCAGCCCACTGTCTGGCCCTCACTGGGACACACAAGAGCCTCGAGACGTCGCCCACCCAGACAGGAGGCGGGGTGTGGGCTCTCCCAGATCAGACCCTGCCGGCCGCTTAGCCCCGCGGACAGGCCCTGGGACAGGCCCTCATGCGTGCATGTGCGTGTGTATGTGTGTGTGTGTGTGTGTCTCCCCTCTCCCCCCCGCTCCGCCGCTGGCTCACCATGTGGTAGTTGACCATCTCCTGCAGGCTGTCTCCAAACCTCTGCAGACACTCCTGGGGGGCAGGGGAGACCCTCGTTCAGATGGGTCAGCCATGCCCCCGAGCACCCGCACCTTCCCGGCGACAGGCCTCGGAGCCGCCCCGCCGCCCACACAGACGCCCACACGCTCCCGGGACCCCGGCGCCCGCAGGGGCTGCCTGCCCGGGCCTGCCCTCAGCGAGGCCGGAGGCCGGAGGCCGGGGCCCTCACCGAGATGACGGTGTCTCCCTGGCATTGCTGGGACAGGTCGCGCACGCCGCTCACAAAGAGCCTGTTGGTGGTGACGTAGGCCTTGCCGGCCTCGATCATGCCGCTGCACAGCTTGACCAGCTGCGGACGGGACGGGACGAGGTGTGACACCTGGGCTGCCGAGCGCTGGGGGGACCCCCCTGCCCGCCCTCCATCCTGAGCCCACTGGGCGCTGGGTCAGCCTAGTGCCAGCCACCGGAGCCCTGGCTCCAGAGGGAGGTGAGCAAAGAGCCCAGCACGGGTGGGCATGTGGGCACATGGGCTGGGCCAAGGGTCAGCAGGACCAGCCACCGAGGGGGCTCAGGAGAGTGCCCCTCAGTGCTCCCCCAGTTCCCCCTGGGCCCCCAATCTGGTTACTCAGAGGCACAGCCTCCCAGTGGCCTCCCCCCGATGGGAGACCCAGAGGCGCACACGTGTGTGTGTGTGTGTGTGTGTGTGTGTGTGCAGAGTGTGCACTGGGGATGGGCATGTAGGTACAGCTGTGGCGAGGGGACACAGCCACGTCTCGTGCACGCACACGGGCTGCATGCCCCACATGCAACATACGTGCACTCGCACACGTGTGTGCACACACCCCAGTGGCCGGGCCTGGGGGCGGGGGGCAGCCCTGGAGCCCACACTGCCCAGCCCCTCACCTTGTCCAGCTTGGCCTCGATCTCGACCACATCTGTCTCCACCTCGTCGATGGTGGCCCTGCGACGGGAAGAGGTCAGTCAGGGGTCAGCCCGCGGCCAGCCGCCCTAACCTCGGGCCAGGCTGGGTCTTCGCCTGCCCACGCCCCTCCCCAGGGGGGCTGCTGGCTCCTGTGGCTGACCCGCGGCCCCGCGGCCCTCAGTCAGGCCAGGAGGCGGAGCTGGGAGAGGAGGCAGGACAGCGGCCAGTCCAGCAGACTCGAGCTGCCCAGAGCCACCACCTCCCCAGGCAGAGAGGGCCTGTCACATGTGACCGCCCCCCATCTGAGGCTGGGCTGCTGTGGCCCTGGGTACAGAGGTCAGACAAGCCTGAGGACAGAGAGGGACCGGAACCCAGGGCAGGTGCACACGCAGGGCAGGGCGAGGCCAGGGCCGCCAGCCACCGCCGCCCCGCCCCGCCCCGCCCCAGACTCCACTGGGCTCCCCAGCCTGGTGGCTCCTGCCGCTTGCCTGTCTCAGCCAGAACTTCTCTGGCTCGCTCAGACACCCCCAACCTCCAAATAAGAAAGAATGGCACCATCTGCCAGGAGAGGGGTGGGTCAGGTCCCGTCCTCCCCCCATTCCACCCCCCTACCCCACCCCACCGAACCCCGCAGCCTGACAATGAGCTCTCCCGGGAGGGGCGAGGGGCGGGGAGAGTTAACACATGACATCACCGAGGAGCCGAGGACAGGAGAATCCCCGGAAGGCAGAGGCAGATGGATCGGGCACGTGACCCTCCCCCCACAAACGCTCCGGGAACAGGAAATAGGAAAATCAGGCCAGTGTCCCGGTGCCCCCCCCCCCCCCCATCTGGCCTCCGGGGTGGAGGGACGAGGGAGCGGCTCCGGCCAGGCAGGGAGGCAGGCCTCCGGAGACAGGCCTTGGGCGGGGTCAGGCCGAGGGGAGGCGTGCGGGGGGAGGGGCGTGCGCCAGGATTTCCCAGGTCCCTCAGGTGGGGTGCAGCTCAGGGTGACCTCCCGGGGAGCTGGGGGAGGGGGCAGGGAACTCATGAGTCTCCACTCCGCCCGGCAGGACACAGCTCCTCTCTGAGGGGTTCAGGGGATGCGTCTCGGAGCAGAGCTGTCAGAGGGGTGACTCCCTGTCCCAGCCGTTGCCCGGCCCCCGCAGGTGCCCACCGCCCACCCAGGACTGCCTGGCCCAGGGACCCTGGCCTCTGCTGTGGCCTCTCGGGTCCCCTCACAGGGTCCCTCCCGAGGCAGGGAAGGCCCACCCCCCAGAAGAGGGTGCTGCAGGGGCAGCCCCAGCACCCCAAGTGCCCTGGCAGCTGCACAGCGAGCTGCCACCCGGGAGCTGGGCGCCTGGTCCCTGAGCCAGCAAGGAAGGTGCAGCACTGGAGCCTGGGCCAGCCCCCTCCCTGGACCCCCTCCCCAGGCCCCACCCCAGACCCCTCCCAGCCCCCCCACCCCAGCCCCGGGGACCAGGGCCGCCTCTCCTGCCCGCCCTCCAGGATTTCCTCAGCAGCTTGGAGGAGGAGGGAGGAGGGAGGTTCCTCCACCGAAGCCGTGACTCAGTGCTGACGCCCCACCCAAGGGAGGGGGCACCGAGGACAACGGGGTGGGCGAGGCCGGGCCTGTCTGAGAGCGTCTGGTCCCCCGAACCACGTGCACGGGGCTGTGGGGCTCCCCCAGGCCAAGAGCACACGGCCAGCTCCCCTCCCAGGGCTGGGCTCACATGGCCCACATCACTGACCACATCCTCCTGGCCGGCCGGACCCTGACCGCCTCCTCAGGCCAGCCTCCAGGAAGCCAGGTTACACGCTCAGCCGCTGAGGGGCCTCAGGACGGCCTCGCACCCCGTAAACTCTCTGCCCAGCCCGAAACCGGGTCCCGGGGATCCACGGAGCTCCCTCAGGCCGGGGCGGGCACTCTCCCTGCCCGGGGAGCCACAGGCAGAACGGGCTGGGGTGGAGGAAGGCCCAGAGGGGACTGGGTGCTGGGGCCGGGCCTGACCGGGAAGGGGGTCCCACCCAAAGGGAGGAAGAGCAGGAGGCTCTGCGGGGCCTGGGGGACAGTGGGCAGAGGTGCGGCCAGACCATGAGTGCACGTGCTGCTCACACCCCAGCCGCCCTGGGGAGAGGCTGTGCAAGAGGCTGGCTGCAGGGGGCTGCACACACACACACACACACACACACACACGCACACACGCACTCTTGTTGGCACAGCCCAGGGACCGGGCATGCACACTACACGGGATCTCCTGAGCCATCCCAGGTGCATGTGTGTGGTGGCACGGTGCACACGCAGACACACGTGCAGAATCTCGTGTCCCAGTGCTGGGATACACATGAACAATCTAACCTGCGCGTTTAGTGGCAACACTCACGCCAGCATGAAAAGTACATGTACGTGTCCACACCAAGAAGTCACAGGTGGCACACGTGCACGCACGCATTGCTGGTGTGCACACATGTTCCCAGCAGGCCAGCGCAGGGGTACAGCTCACGACAGTCACATCCAGGGTCTGGCACCCGAGGGTGTGAAGTGCGTGGGGAAAGCAGACAGACAGACAGACACACACACACACACACACACACACGCACACACACACATGCACACACATGCGCACACACGCACACGTGCACACGCGCGCACATGCACACATGCACACACGCGCGCTCACGCACACACACGCACACACACACGGGCAAGCACGCCTGCTCTTCCAGAACCCAGGATGGAAGGGCCACAGCCTTGGGCCCAGGCTGCTCAGTCTGACCCTGAGGTCACCTCTGTCCACGTGGCTCTGGCTGGCTGTCCCCCTTGGGCAGCTCTGGGCAGGGGGACCAGACAGAATGCAGGACAGGCCCACATCCCCGGCCAGAGCGACATCCCGGCCAGAGCAGCCCGCAGGGCCGTGCAGGTGGCCGGCATGACGGGGCCCGCACAAAGCGGGTGGACACCCGTGGGGAGGTGGGCGGAGGTGGACATGCCGCGGGGAGGTGGACACCCTGTGGGGAGGTGGACACCCGCGGGGAGGTGGACGGAGGTGGACACCCTGTGGGGAGGTGGACACCCGCGGGGAGGTGGACGGAGGTGGACACTCGTGGGGAGGTGGACGGAGGTGGACACTCCATGGGGAGGTGGACGGAGATGGACACGCCGCAGGGAGGTGGGAGGTGGACACCCACGGGGAGGTGGGAGGTGGACACCCGCGGGGAGGTGGACACCCGTGGGGAGGTAGACGGAGGTGGACACCCGTGGGGAGGTGGGAGATGGACGCCCTGTGGGGAGGTGGACGGAGGTGGACACCCGCGGGGAGGTGGGAGGTGGACACCCGCGGGGAGGTGGACACCCGCGGGGAGGTGGACACCCGTGGGGAGGTAGACGGAGGTGGACACCCGCGGGGAGGTGGGAGATGGACGCCCTGTGGGGAGGTGGACGGAGGTGGACACCCGCGGGGAGGTGGGAGGTGGACACCCGCGGGGAGGTGGACGGAGGTGGACACCCGCGGAGAGGTGGGAGGTGGACACCCGCGGGGAGGTGGGAGGTGGACGCCCCGTGGGGAGGTGGACGGAGGTGGACACCCGCGGGGAGGTGGACGCCGGCGCAGCCCCGCCCCACGCGCGCCCCTCGGCGAGGCGGCCGGCGAAGGGGCATCTTTTGTTCCGCCGGCCGTCCGGGCGCTGCGGGCTTTGTCCGCGGCGGGTCCGCCCGCGCCCGTCACCGGCTCCCGCGCCGGACACAAAGGGGGCGCCGCCGCCGCCTCCCGCCCGCGCCCTCCCCGGCCGCCCGGTCCCGAGGGGGCGCCCCCGGCGGCTCACCTGAAGCGCGGCGAGTCCTTGATGCACTCCTCGAACTCCACCGTCATGGCTGCGGCGCGCTCACTGGCTCAGGACCGCGGCGCCCCGAGCCGCATCCTCGGCGGCCGGCCGCCCCTCCGCCGCCGCCGCCGCCCGCGCCGAGCTCCGCGCCCGCCCGCGCCGGAATGAGGCCGCCGCCCCGCCCGCCTGTCACCGCCGGGGAGCGTCGCCCAAGTGCGCAGCGCGGGAGCCGCCGCTGTCACTGCCAGGGAGCGTCGCCAAACGCCCTGCCCTCCCGCCGGCCGCCGCCGGCGCGCGGCTCCGCCCGCCCCGACGATCCGCCCCTCAGTCCCGGCCGCTCCAGATCGGGGAGGAGAGCGGGCTCGGCAGCAGCGGGGGGTCGGAGCCGTCGCTGACCGCCAGGCGCGGGCACGCCCTCTCCGGCGAGCCGGCCGCGGTTGCGCAATGAGGGACGTTTGCAAAACCCGCGGGGCGGGGCCTCAGCGGAAGCCCGGGCTCCCCGAGGTGGGCAGCGGGAAGCGGGGGGACAGGGGAACGTCGGAGTGCGCGCACGCGGGGGCGTGCAGGTCGGCGCGCAGTTTGAGAGCGGATTCCTGACGCAGCTGCCCGAGTCGGGCCCACGCGCCCCACAGAGAGCCGCACTTTGCACCCGCTCCCTAACGGTGGCCCCGCCCCCTGCCCCGCCCTCGGCGGCCCGGGGTCGGGCGTGTCTAGCTGTGAGGCGGGGCAAACGCAAAGCGCAGGCGCGGAGCCGCTGGGGCGTGGCCGGACTCTGTGCGCATGCGCACAGGCCCACGTGCGGCCTCCACTCCCCTGGGTTCGTGGGCCGGTCCCGCCGGTCCCGCCGGTCCCGCCGGGCCATGGGCTCGGGTCCGGTCGCGGGCTCGGTGCGGGCGCGCTACCTCGTGTTCTTCCAGTACGTGGGCACCGACTTCAAGTATGTCCCGACCTCCCGAGCCCCAGCCCCCGGGGAAGCGCGGGAGCTGGTCCCCAAGGACAGCGAGCGCGAGGAGGGGGCGGGAGCTGTAGGGTCTGCACTTCCGGCCCCGCCGGCACCGGCCCGGAGCGGCCGCGGTGGCCGCTTAAAGCGGGGCCGGGCGGGCGGCCTCTGCCCGCCAACCTGCCCCGCCTCTGCCCACAGCGGGAGCGCGGCTGTCAGGGGCGCCCAGCGCGCGGTCGGGGTGCAGAACTACCTGGAGGTGAGCCGGCCTGTGGCCCGGGAGGGCGGAGGGCGGCCGGTGCCGGCGGGAACTCGGGGCTGACCCCGGCGGCTGTCCCCGCAGGAGGCCGCCGAGAAGCTGAAGTCGGTCGTGCCAGTCAAGTTCATCATCTCCAGCCGCACGGACGCTGGGGTCCACGCCCTGAGCAACGCCGCGCACCTGGACGTGCAGCGCCGCGCGGGCCAGCCGCCCTTCACACCCGAGGTCCTGACCGAGGCCCTCAACACCCACCTGCGGCACCCCGCCATCCGGTGAGCACCGCCCGCTCCGCCCTAGGCATCCACCGCGGCTGAGGCGGGGTCAGGGAGGACTGTCTGGACAGACTTTCTCAGGGTATGCGGGGAGACAGCAAGGGGACACGTGTGTGGGGGTCATGTCCCCGGTGTTACTCCACAGGGTCCTGCAGGCCTTCCGTGTGCCCACTGACTTCCATGCCCGCCACGCTGCCACATCCAGGACCTACCTGTACCGCCTGGTCACCGGCTGTGCCCGGTATGACCAGCTGTCTGTGTTTGAGCGAAACCGGTGCTGGGCCCTGCGAGCAGAGTGAGTGTGGGTGTGTGGCAGTGAAGGGGGGGTGCCAGGCCCACCTGGCTGGCCACTTCCTCCCGACCTCTCACCTGGCTCCTGCAGCCGCTTGGACATGGCTGCCATGCAGGAGGCTGCCCAGCACCTCCTGGGGACACACGACTTCAGCGCTTTCCAGTCGGCCGGCAGCCCCTCCACCACCTCCGTGCGCACGCTGCGTCGAGCCACCGTGTCCCTGGGCCCAGCTGGTCCCCTTGTCCTTCCCCAGGAGAGCAGGTGAGGAGAGCGGCCTTAGGATGGAGGCCAGGGAGGCTGTGTGAGCCCAGCACCTCCTCTGGCCAACCCGGAGCCTCCCTGCCCCCAGTCCCTGGCTCTCCTGCTGGGCACGGTCTGGACTCCCAGCTGCTAGAACGATAGGTGAGGGCTGACAGCATGGCTCCTCCTGCAGGGACCCAGCCTATGGGCCTTCCCCGGCACAGTGGGCCGTGCAGAGGCAGGACGTCCTGGGCACCCGCTGGGGGTGAGCTGGGCAGTTGGTGCCGTGAACCCGCAGCTGCGCTGCCCCCCTCCACCCCCGGCTGGAGAACAGGACAAGGGCTGCTTTCCCTGAGGGCTCCCAGCCCTGCCCCAAGCTCACCGCTCAGGAGGGGTTCTGGCCCAGCCTGACAAGGGCGGTACCACTGCTCCCAGCACCATCCCAGGGGCCTCTGGTCACATGGCAGCTGCTGACTTCTAGAACCTTCCTAGTGTGGGCACCATTAGCCTTAGATGTGTCAGAGCCCTGAGCTGGTGCCAGGACCTTAGCATCTCCCCTAGGCCCTGTCCCCACCGCATGGCCCTCGGAAGGCTCTCCCCTCCCTCACAAGGGATAGCTGTCGGGTTCGCACCTCCCATAGGAGGCTCCTGGGGCGGAAGAGGGTGGGTACGGCTTCCTGGGCCCTCTGCGTGCCCAGCACCCTCTCCTCGTCGGGAGCCAGGCAGCTGGGGTTGCCCTGCGGCGCTGACTTCACGGTACCCGTGTCCCCAGGAGGCTGCAGTTCTGGAGCTTGGAGTTTGAGAGCCAGTCCTTCCTGTACCGACAGGTGGGCTCTGCGCCGGGGCCCGCCCCGGGAGGTGGGAACTGGGCCCAGGTGGCAGGCTGAGCCTTGGGTTGCAGGTGCGGAGGATGACGGCCATCTTGGTGGCCGTGGGGCTGGGGGCTGTGACCCCTGCTCAGGTGAAGACGATTCTCCAGAGCCGGGACCCGCTGGGCAAGCACCAGACACGCGTGGCCCCAGCCCACGGCTTGTTCCTGAAGTCGGTGCGATTCGGGGGCCTCAGAGACCTCGGTAAGAGGTGCCGGGGAAGGCCCCTCCGTGTGCCGCTGAGGGGCCCACTCCGGGCTGGGTCCCGCAGGAGCAGGAGCCATGCTGACACCACCTCCCCTGCCGTTCTAGCAGCTGGGAGCCCACACTGTGCCCAGCAGGAGAGCCAGGGACCAGGGGGCCGGGAGGCTCCGGCTTGGCCAGAAGACCCCGGGCTGGAGACCAGTGGCCCGAAGGCAGGCAGCCTGGAGTGAGGTGCCATGCCCCTTAGAGCCAGAGCCCCCTCAGCCCACGCCCGTCCCCAGTGGGAGAGGGGGGCTCCCAGCCTGACCTAGGATCTGGCCACCAGTCCTGCCTCCCGCAGCCCCAGAGCTTCTGGCTCATGGTTTGCAGGGTCCATAGCACGGAAGCCACAGATGGCCCCAGGTGCCGAGCCAAGGTCAGAGCACCCACGCTCACGGTCTGGCCACTGGATCCTGCCTGGCTCTGCACACCGCATGACCTACCTGGGGCCACAGCAGGCCTCCTGCTCCCCAAGCACCCAGCACCCAGCGTGCCCATCTGCCCAGGTGGGCGGCCCTGGCGTAGGTGCAGGAGATGGGTGTGAGCACCAAGGCGGGGAGACAAGCACCTCCGGTCCTGTCACTGGGAATTAATATGATAAAATAAAATGTGAAGAGGTCTCTAGGGTTATTTATTTCTTCCGCCCCAAACGGCCACGCGGGCAGACATGGGACACTGGTGCTGCCCACGTGAGGCTGGCGCTGGCCGGCTGCGGGCTGCACGTCCAGAGGGAAGCCCGCAGCAGGCACTGTCCTGCAGTGGAAGCCCAGGCCCCTGGCTGGCGAGGGAAGGGCAGGCGGCCGTGGCGGTCAGCTGCCTCCGCTGGGGGCTGGGGGCAGGCCCTTCTTGAGCAGAGACGTGAGGTAGCTCCCCAGCTCTTCGTCCTACGAGGGGACACAGGAGCTGTAGTCCCGCCTCGCAGCTCAGGCGGAAGGAGTGACCCCACCCGTCCTGACCCGCTGCCCGGGGCCAGCTCCTGGGTCCTGCACGCACCTGGTAGGTCCAGGAGACCAGCAGCACCTTGGTGCCGGGGTCCTCGGAGTGTGCCGCAGCCTGGATGAGAATGGACTCCACGGTCACCGAGCCGTCAGGGAGGTGCTGCACGCAGTGGTCCTTGAGGAGGCTGCTCAGGAGGAGACACGTCAGGCCCCACCTCGTGAGACACACCCCCCCGCCCGCCCCCCGCCAGAGGGCCAGGCTGTGCCCACCTCTTGAGGTGGCTGTAGACACGCATGGCCGTCTCCTGCTCCTTGCGTGAGTCGTGCAGGTGCACTCGGCAGGTGAAGCGCAGCTGGTGCTCGGCCAGGCCCAGCTCCTTGAGGGCTTGCTCAGAGGACACCAGCCGGAAGTTCTGCGGGGCAGGGTCGGGTCAGGTCAGAGCACGCCACGGCCCCTACCCGCCCCACCGCGCCGCCCTGCTGTGCACTCACGCTGTCCTTCATGATCAGGGTGCCGTGCAGGAGCCGTGGCTTCTTGGCATCGGGGAGAAGCCCTTAGAGAAGAGCAGGGATCAGAGCTGCCAGGGCCCGCTGCCCGCCTGGCTCCGCCCAGCAGGCACGCCTGCCCCGCTTACCCTGCGCCATCTCCCGCTTTAGCAGCCCCAGTGAGATGCCCACGGGGATGCTGGGGCTTGTGGGCAGGGTCACAGTCTCGCCGTTGGCTGGCATGTAGCAGTTGACTCCTGGGCCAGGGGCAGAGAGCACGTCAGTCAGGCTGGCCAGCCCACCATGCTGACCCCTGGGGGCGACCCGCCGAGCCCTCCCGCGCATCAGCTGCCTACGGAACTCCTGCTCGATCTTCTGCTTCAGGAACTCCATCTTCTTGGCCTCGCCGTGCACCAGCAGCACGCTCTCGGGCTCCGCCTGGCCCACCAGCTGCATGATGCCCTTGGCGTCCGCGTGGGCACTGAAGGACATGTACTCCACCTGCATGCGGATCTCCAGCTGCAGGGCACAGGCACAGGCTGTCAGCACCCACCCGAGAGGGGCCCGGGAGCTGGGGGCAGGCAGCACTCACCACCTGCCGCCCCTCCATCTCCAGCTTGCGCTGCCCGCTGAGGATCTTGTGGCCCACGGTGCCCTGCACGCAGTAGCCCGGCATGATGACCTGCAGGAGAAAAGGCAGAGCTGCTAGCCGCCTGCATGGCCTCGATCTGCCCAGGGCTGAGCCCCACGACCGACCCCTGCTCAGGAGGGCTTCCTGATACTAGACGGGCAGACAGTGACGTCTGAGCTGCCTGGCTGGACCCTGGGCCCCGGTACTGCACCCCTTCTGATAGCAGCAGTGTGCCCAAGCCGGGGGAGCCCCTGCTCCCCACCTCTGCCCAACCTCAGGCCTTCCACGGAGCCATCCCAGACCCCTCACCATGTTCTTCTCATTCCCGGCCCACTTCCGGAAGATCTGCAGGGACTGCCCGGCGTGCAGCATCCCGGGTGTGGCGAACACGACCTGGGGGTGACCATGGGGCAGTCAGGGCAGCCCTCGCCGCGCCCGACCAAGAACCAGGCTCTGCACACATCTGTCCTCCCCGCCCATCAGGCCTCCTGCTCCACTCACATCTCCCACCCAACCCAACACCGTCTTTCCTCCAGCACCGCGTGCCCCACTCCACGGAGGGGGGTGGGGCGCAGGCAGGGACCCGGGCAGGCCCCAGACAAGGAGGAAGGCGCTGTGGACATGGGGCTGGCCCAGGCCCAGGCCCAGCCCCAGCCTGGGGGCATGCCTTGGCTGCAGCGGCACAGAGGCCAGGGCCTCACCATTGGGCCCGGGTTGTCGGCGAAAGCTCGGTCGAAGGCCTTGATGTGCTTGAACTCGAACATGTTCCGCTGGACGAAGGTCTTGCGGATCTTCTGGTTGGTCCAGGTGATGAAGAGCTTGTAGTAGTGGTTGGCCTTCTCCGTGAGGCCGGTGGAGAAGTAGATGGGGGCCTTCAGGTTCATGCGCTCCCTGTGGGCGGGTGGCCGTGGTGGGGGAGCCGAAGGTCGACCCGCACGTCCCCAGGCCCTCGGCCTGCCTGCCCCTCCGAGCGGCAGGGCTGTGTGGAGGCCTCAGTGCAGAACGAGGTGCCCACGTGCTGTTCTGGGCCCCAGGCTCAGGTTGGCCCCACAGCCCCCTCTACCGCGCACTCAGCCCAGGGCCCCGTACCCACCAGAAGGTCTCCAGCAGGATGCAGAGCTCCTGAGCGCGGCCCAGCGCGAACACGGGGATCAGCACCTGCAGAGGGCAGGCTGGCGTGGGTAGGGGCCAGGCCGCCCTGCTCACCCAGGCAGAGCTCGTGAGAACACAGTGGCTGGGCAGGTACTCCCTGTGGCCACCTTCTTGGGCAGCAGCCGTGAAGACTAGCCCTGCTGGCAGTTCCTATGGCGGAGGCCACGTCCACAAAGAGGCCACGGCCAGGCACCCCTGAGAGCTGGAGGCCCCCCTACATCCTGCCCCACCCCACCCCCACCACCCCTCCGGCCACACTCCATCCCAAAGGGAGTGGTGGACACTGGCCAGCCTGTGGTGGGACCTGAGATGAGGGGAAGCCAGTACCCCAGAGGGTCAAAGGGCGCTTCTCTTCCCAACAGGAGTAGGGCCTCTCCCGGCCAGAACCACAGCACCACCCCGACCTCATGATCTGCCTGCCCGCTCCCCCGCTGCAGCCTAACTGTCCGACCTCAGGCCCCCCCCTCCCCCGCTGCGGCCTAACTGTCCGCCCTCAGGCCCGCCCGCCCCCCGCTGGGGCCTAACTGTCCGCCCTCAGGCCCGCCCCCCCCCTCCCCCCCCGCTGCAGCCTAACTGTCCGCCCTCAGGCCCGCCCCCCCCCCCCCCCCCCCCACTGAGGCCTAACTGTCCGCCCTCAGGCCCGCCCCCCCGCTGGGGCCTACCTTCCCGCCGCGCTCCACCGTCTCATGGACCTTCTTCAGGAAGTCCCGCTCCCGGCAGCGCTTGGAGTCACGGATGGTCGTGGCGTACGTGGATTCTGTGATGAGCAGGTTGGGGCGGCATTTGTCAATCCAGGCGGCTCTGGAAGAGGGGCATGGCCTGAGGGGGACAGTCCACAGGGCCTCCAGCAGGGGAGCATCAAGCCAGACCCAGCGGCTCGCGCCCAGGCCTCCGGACCGAGGGGCAGCCTCCTCTGCAAGGCCCAGCAGCAGGCAGGGAGCCCCGAGGAGACTCTGCCTCCCTGGGGGGCGGCACTGCATGAAACCACTGCCTACTCACCCCAGGTGCCGGTCCGGGGTCATGTTGTAGTCGCCCTGCAGGGGAGCAGCTCTCAGGAGGCGCTCCTCCCCCCGCCCAGCACCCCACCCGTGCCCCAGGGCACCCACTGACCGTGTAGACCACGGACTCCGAGCCCACTTTGATCTGGAACATGGCGGCCCCCAGCACGTGGCCGGCGTAATAGGCCTTGATCTGCAGCTCCTCGTCCACCTGGGAGGGGAGGGCCGGGTCAGGGCTGTGGCTGTGTGTAAGGGGTGTGTGTGTGGGGTGGCGGGGGGGAGTAGCAACGAAAATAACTTTATGGTTGGGGGTCACCACAACATGAGGAACTGTATTAAAGGGCTGCGGCATTAGGAAGGTTGAGAACCACTGCTCTAAGGAAACACACACAAGCAGCGTCTCTGATAAATGCTGCCACTTAACCTCTCGCCTGCGGCCAGCCCTCCGTCTGCCCCTGACGCGCGCACAGCAGTGGCCGAGATGGAGCCCAAACCCCGCAGCCCCGCTCCGCTCCGTCCAGCCCCTGCCTCCCCGGCCAGCACGCAGGAGCTCTGTCCTGCTCGGACGCCGGTGCCCCCTGGTGGCCAGGCCTGGCACTGACCTGGACCGTCTGGTGGAGCCGCACGGCCACCACCTTCTTCATGCAGTCCTTGATCATCTGGGAGGTGAAGAAGTTGGCCTCGCCCTTCTTGTCCACGGCGATCTTGCGGTAGTCCTCCAGCAGGATGGGGCAGATGGCCTGGGTGGGGTGGGTCATGTAGATGGGCCCGTCGTAGCCCACCATCTCGCTGAAGTAGGGCAGCGCCCCGCAGTGGTCCAGATGGAAGTGGCTGGGGGCGCAGCAGGGTCAGCGGCCACGGCACCCCCCTCACAGCCCCTCCCACCAGCTCCACTCGGTCCCTGCCCACCATCGTCCTCCCACCCCTCACTCGCTGAGGGCTCCCGGTGCCAGGCGTGTCCTAAGTGCCGGGGTGGGCAGGAGCAGACAGACAGACCTTACACTCTAACACCCTGCTCAGCAGTGAGCACAGGAACGGTTAGATCAGTGTTTTTCAACCTTTTTTGGGCAAAGGCACACTTGTGTCATGAAAGAAATCACGAGGCACACCACCATTAGAAAACGTTAAAAAATTTAACTCTGTGCCTATATTGACTATATATAAAGTAATTCTCTTGAATAGGAATCAAATAAACACAAAGAAAGTATTTCATAATTACTTTATTATGAAATATTAAGTAAACAAAACAGTGAAAAATTATAAAATTCTTGTCTTGTCTGCACCTACGGCACACCAGGAACAGCGGTTGAAAAACGCTGGGTTAGATGTGTGTCAGACAGCGACACGCCGTGAGAATGTGTGT